ACCACTTGTAGAATACTTCATCTGTTTCCTCATCCTGGTTGGGTGGTCTGTAACAGACTCCCACCAGGATATCTGCCTTATTAGCCTTCCCCCTAATCTTAACCCATAAGCACTCAACCTTATCATCTATCAAGCTCTGGACAATCAAAACACTTCCTAACGTACAAGGCTACCCCACCACCTCTCCTTCCTTGCCTGTCCCTTCTAAAGAGCTTGTAGCCATCCATTGCAGCACTCCAGTTGTGTGAGTCATCCCACCATGTTTCCGTGATGGCGACCGCATCATGGTTTTCCTGCCGCGCAATGGCTTCCAGCTCCTCCTGCTTATTGCCCATGCTGTGTGGATTGGTGTAAATGCACTTCAGTTGGGCTATTGATCTCGTCTCCAACACAGGCAATCCACCCCTAGGCTCATCCCTAGCAAGCCTGGTTTTATCCCCTTCCCCCTTCAAATCTAGTTTAAAGCTCTCTCAATGAGGTCTGCTAGCTCCTGAGCCAGAATCCTTTTCCCGCTTTGCGACAGGTGAACCCCATCTGTCTCCAGCAGGCCTGGTGCCATGTAAACTGCCCCATGACTGAAAAACCCCAAATTCCACCTCTGGCACCAGCCTCTGAGCCACGTGTTGAGATGGGTCTTCCTGTTCCATATGCCTCCCGGCTACTGATGGGATGGAGGAAAACACTACCTGTGCTCCTGACCCTTCAAGTAATTGCCCCAGTTCTCTAAAGTCCCTTTTGATCGTCTTTGTGCCTCTATCAGCTACCTCATCTCTGCCAACCTGAACAACCATTAGTGGATAATAATTGGACGATTTTACCAGCCTGGGGAGCTTCCTGGTAACGTCTCTTATCCTTGCCCCAGGGAGGCAGCAGACTTCCCTATGGGATGGGTCTGGTCACGTTATCTACCTTATGAGGAGGGAAATTGTGCCCTTGGCCTCTGACTGTAAAGGACACATTGTGTTTGACTAGCTTGTGCTTGGACATCCACTGTAGGCAGATGAGTCTCGTGTGTGGGTATTGTCACCTGGAATCTGTTTGATTCAAGCCATGATGGAAATAGTAAACATAACTGCTTTCTTCTTTCCACGTATGTTGGTAGCTTACTCCAAAACAGACCTTCAAGAGCCCATCGTATAAAACACGATTACCCTTAGGTTACTTGTGAAGGGGATACAAAGCGTGATAACTTTTACAACTCAAGTGGATTCAAACTTTAAAAAAACAACCCAACCCACCCCTCCCCCAAACAAAAAAAATCATACTATAAATAAGGCTTTTTTTCTTAGAGCAAAACTTGCTGGCCATGGAATTGATCCAATGCCTGTTACTCTAATTAAACTGTTCTTATTGGTTTAACTTTCTATTAATAAGATATAAAACATAACAGTGTTGACATTTAAACAGAATACAATTTTGTTGATCTGAATTTGATTTTAAATTGTTGATACTAGATTTCCTGTTTATTCTTATATTAATCCAGGCATTTCTTCACAACCTAATAAAGGCAATGTGTTTTTTTCCAGATCTGTTTTCTCCTGTTTGCTGTTCTTTACATAGTTTCCTACTTCATAATCACAAGATACAAAAGGAAAGCAGGTAAGCCTAGACTTTTTAATATATTAAAAAATAATTTTGTTTTTCAAGTGAATAGGTGATTCTTTTTCTTTCCGCCTCCACGAGGAAAGCGGAAGAACTAAATCTCTGACCAAAAGTATTTCTCATGCTGCTGGCTGCTGGCAGCCTGGACTGCTCTGATTGCGTGCGGTGCTGTCTTGCTCTCCATCTGCTCCCTTTGTCCCTGAGCCACAAGTTTCCATCCCCTCCCTTGTGCCCACTCCGGCACTTCTCAGACCCTTCAATGTGCCTTGTAATATCACTAACCAAGGGAGGGAGTGCACTGAAGCATCTTGGAAAAGGATCAGTGAGTGCTTTAGCTGGCAATCTGAGTGAGAATGGGTGGCCATTATGGAGGTGGTGTGGATGGCCACAATCAGTTGCTCTGTTGTGGCTCCGTGGCAGCCTAAATGTTAACTGTTCTGAGAGGGAAGAAAGGGGAGAATTTCAAGTAGTCGCTTCTGCCTTCCTGGCCTTTAGATCCTGTTGTTCTCCTTTCATGTCAGCTTTTCCAGAATAAGTATTTTCAGGCTGTGTTCTAGCACCAAAATCAAGTTCAAAGCTTTAGCTGGTAAAATGAAAAGGTTGCCAGTAATATAGAAGTAGCAGATTTCTTCCAGAAATCCTGCTTTACTCAGGTACAGTTATTTTAGTGTTCTTAACCTGTTCCTTATGACCTCACCACTGAAGTCTTATTCCTTGAGATAATCCTGTATTTTTTTCCTTTAGAAACATTGTCTGTCTGAAACTAGTCTGTAGGGACCCCTGTCATTTTCTTCTCTATTTCTTCTAAAGACAAATAGCATAAGAATCTGTATAAAATGGCAAAATCTTTGACTCTTGGCAGCTTATCTGGGACCTTGGTGCTCCGTAGTACTCAGTCAGTCATGCTGGAGAATATGCATCATCATCATCTTGGCACTTTGAACTTTGATGGAAACTGTTTATTGAACTACACTGATCTGTGTTATGATAGAACTGCTTTCATAGATGGATTCATGTTTAAAATTTAAACTCTTCGAGAAATTTAATACCTTTTTTAAAAAAGTACACCTCTTTAAACATAGAGAATAGTTAAACAAGTGAGTAAGATGGATCCTATCTTCTGATCCTGGTATGTATTTTGGAGACTACAAAGCTGCTACTGTTTGGAGATACAGAAGAACGGGGAGGGGGAACTGGTTTGGCAATACTATTGGATGTAAAGACACTTTTATTACCTTTTTGGCAGTCAATCTCATCAGCTAGTGAGAGGATCTGCTCTGCAGCTGTCCCGACTATGAAAGCTTTGTGAGCATGTAGTTAGGCAAACTTTGTAGCCTGCTAGGATCTTCCTGATGAGACACATTGGAAGAGTTATCGCTGTTGGAATTATTTCAGGACAAATTGTTTGCTCTTTCTACAACAAGCTCTTTAGCCAAAATGATTCATAAGAGACCTTGACTTAGCCCTGAAAACACCATGAGATTCCCATCAAAAAACCATAAACAATAACCCAATGTGCTTTCACAGATGAATTTCAAAATAGCGTGATATTAGTGGCTACATGTTTATTTCAAGTGTGCTCATGACTCTTAAGAACTTGAAACACCTGGCTTTATTTATTCCTAGATTTTAAAATAAATTTGAGTTACCTCTCATGGAAAACCTGGGAGACTTAACAGAAGAAAGCTGACTCTGAAGTTATTTCAAATGTAGAAATGCATACATTTGTGTACAGATGCGTGTAGAGAAGGATATGAAGAATAAATGAAGGATATATTAGTGATTGACCTCTGAGTTAAATGTTGATAATATTTCAACAAGTTGGAATATTAATTGAGGAATAAGTGAACAGAAATGATCTAAAATGTGAAATACCAGAAGGGAAGCCATGGTATCTTAAATCCAAAACAAAGAACAAGAACAGCAACTCACCCCCCTTGCCCAAATCCCCAGGAGTGTGTGTGTGTGTGGAATGAGTAAAGGGAAGTAACTGCGTATGCTTTCATGTTTTAAAAATACATTAATACTGAAACTGAAACATCTAGTTAGGGATTTATAGTAGTAGTTAGTATGGACCCTAAGACTTTCCTGTAGCTTGCCTGCTTTCCGTGGTTTGAGATGCCCAAAGGCACAGTTCCTAGCAGGAGCCATAGTAGTAGTAGTAGTCTGAAAGCTTATTTGCAGTAGAGCCCTCTGGAAGATGTTTCCATGAAGTTTTGATCTGTATATTTAAATCAAGTCAAATAACTTTGTAGTTACATTGATTGAAAAGAGTATAAGATTGGTGAAAAAAAAAAAAAAGAGAAGAAGAGAGTATTCATTTTTGATGGGAATGTTCTTAAAATATTGATGCTAATAAATTGTTTCGGTAATTCTAAATTTTAGTTGTAAATTAAAATTATTTCTATGTATATACATTTTAGCCTGAGGAAAGATGACTAAGTGTTGAATGTAACCTGCTGTAATTTAATTTTCAGATGAGCAAGAGGATGAAGATGCCATCGTTAATAGAATATCGTATGTATAGCTCTTTTTTGCAGAACTTTTTTTCTTGAATATATTGTTATGATAGGAATCTTGTGTGCTTCCAAATAAATAACAGTCCATTTTAAATGTGACAGCAAATAGGTTGCTAGAGGGCAGAGGAAAAAGATATGATCAAGTGGCACCCTGAAAGGTATGACAAGAGACAAGGCAGTTTGGTCTGGGGCATTTTTCACCTGTGATTTTCCTGGTAGGCATGAAGTTGGCCAGAATATTGCACGAGGATCCGATGAAAGAGGTGGAATTCAGTGCAAGACCTGCACTGAAGTTTAGTTCTCTAAAATGTAGGTGTTTATATGGGGGTAGGTGGTTAAATTCCCACTGCAGTCAGTGGAAGCCCTGTCAAGGGAGGCAACGGATCCTGGAAAGTAAGTTAGCTCACCTTGAAGTAGACATCTGTATTTGATCATCTCAAAAAACCTTAAAAAAGAATAAAAAATGAAAAACAAACACTTGCCAGACCTGCTGGTCTGCCAGGAACTCTCTCTCCTCTTCCTTTTCCTTTGTAAAGCTAGATATTAATCTCCCCTGTTTAAATATGCCTGAAGATTTACAGAACATCTGTGAGCGGTTGCTGCCCTCTCAGTTACATGATTTGCTAAACCATGTGGACTTGCTACTTGCTTATTACAATGTTCTTAGCTCTTCCGTGGTGGTACTGTCAACGTCTTGGAAGGAGAGTTCATTGAGTGTTTTATTGATTTGTCTTGTACCCTGGGAAAGTGCTGAGTACATTGCAAGCTGTTCACTTTTAGTTGTGCATTTGTGGCAAGCTTGAAAGATGTACAAAGATGATGTAAATCTTAGGCGCGCTTCTCCCAGTAGTGTCTGATACCAATATTTTTTATGAATTTGAAATGCTTATTTGCCACAAGGTCTACTTCAGGTCTAGAGAGAGAAAAATACTTTTAAATGCTGTGAAGCTCTTCCCTCTCAAGTAGAGGAACATCTCTCCTGTGCTTAAGACTACAGCAAAGGCTTTTCTAACAATGAAGGCTCTTCTAGATTCAGTGATTTTCATAGCAGCTTGGTCTTAGCCTGGTTCTGAATTTTTCAGCATTCAAAGAGTAAAATTTGTCTTGTTATCCCCCCTTCATCTATTTTCTAGTTTAGCTCTAAAATACAACGAATATAAATTGTAAATACTGTGTTCTTCATGCGAAAACAGTGTAGGACAAGATTAGCACTTCCATCAGAGTGATAGCCTTTCGTTAAAAGTGTTGTTATAAATATAAAATGCTTCTGTTCTTTCAGCCTAAGCTTTCTTGTTCCTTAAGTGTGCATGTTATTTTCCAAAAAGCAATAACTGTCAGACATACACAGATTGATATTCCTTTGCATAGCGTAATTGTCAGTACTTAAGAGGTCGGTGGGGGGAGAAAACAAAGCCAAACTGCTGTATCACCTTGAAAGGCTGTAGCATGTTAGGTTTCACAATTCTGGCTTAGAACACATAAACATCCTTAAATATAAGAAAAAAACCCCTCAGAAACCAACAAAAAACCTATATAAGAGTATCTTTTTTTAAATAAAATTAGTCACCCAGACTTTCTTCTGTAAGTGAAGTATTGTGTGAACAACGAATAGATTTGTAGACTGTTATGGAAAGTAAGATCTCTGTAAGCAACTTACTGACATTCCTGTTGTAGGAATGATCTATTTAAGTTTATCTTTTCTGTCATGCAATTTTGAGAATTATTTCTAATTTTATTTTAGCATTGGATTAGTTCTGTAAGAATGTTTTTGTTGGTCTTTTTTTTTTTCTTTTTCAAGAACAGTTCTTCTTAATGCCACAAGATGGCATTTGATGTAAGTTGTATTTGGGATCTCAAAAGAATAAGCTTAAACATTTTAAAAAATTCTGAGAATTTTTCTGTATTGACATTACAGCTATCGGAAAATCCCAAGCTATGAGATGATACTTAAATAACTACTTTATTAAAGAAAAGAAATATTTTTTTTTTCAGCTTGGTGTTAAAATATTTTTTTATGTATAATTATACTCACTTTTTAGACACTAAAAAGCTGCTCTGCTTTTAGAAATTGTGTAGAAATGGAAATTTTTTTCATTCTGAGTGTGTATGTGGGAAACGAAAACTAAAACAAGAGACTTATGAAAAGATATTCCATGAACTCCAATAATCTATGCTGTGTATGACTTTGGAATTGATTGCATGCAAGTCCCAAGAGAGTAGTTGTGGTAGTTGGTGAAAACTAGTTATCTTTACTGGATTCTATAAACTTGGTATTTGAAATTTGCTTCTTGGAAGTGAAGTACTGTGGAAATCGCAGTTTCTCCTGCCCCTTTAGAATGTAAGAATGGGTTGCCTTCAGACACTGATTAATAGGTAGGCTAACTACTTCTTTTTTTTCCCCTGTTCAGAGCATGTTGGTGGTAACAGTGGTACATTTCTTTAAATTTCAGGCTGTTCTTGAGCACCTTCACTCTAGCAGTTTCAGCTGGTGCAGTCCTGCTTCTGCCTTTCTCAATAATCAGCAATGAGATCCTGCTTTCTTTTCCACAAAACTACTATATTCAGTGGTTAAATGGCTCACTAATTCATGGTTAGTACTCAGCATAATGTAATTAAAATGGATGTCTTCATTAAACATGCACAGATATGTTCTTATTTTCAAACTAATAACTCCATTTTCACTTAAGATGCTAATTGAATTGTTAATATGTTATTGGCTAGTTGTTTTTGCTGCTGTGTGATATATCACAAAAGTCTGTCTTAACTGTTCTGTTGGGTTTCTTTAAAGAATTATGCAGACTTGATGGAATTAAACCAAATTCACTGCTTTGAATATTAATGTAGAATAAGAACTACTAGACGCTAACTTGAAAACACACTGTTCTAACATCTTCCTCATGTGTTAATGCAAGATTCATAAGCCTATCTGTTTATGATGATACACATAAATTTATTCTCAAAATAAAAAAATCTGTTTTAAGGAACTTGCTAGCTATGAGCAGCTGGGATTAGATAGTTAAATTCAACTGGTAGTGATTTATTTGTAAATAAGGAAAATTATAGAATGTAAGTGCATCGAGTGTGGTAAAGAGGCACAATAAAAATGAACTACTTCAAAGAAAACAAGGTGCAAGGGAAGAGTATTACTTGTACTTGCAGCAATGATGCCTTGATGTCTGGCAGAGTGAGTTTTGGTTGCTTTCCAGTATTCATTAACATGCTTACGACTATGATGTGTGTAATGGATACTAATATTTGAAAACAGCTTGGACATTTCTAGGTATCTAAGGGAAATAACTGGTGGAAATGGGACATTCCTTAGTAGGTTTGGCTGGAGAAAGAAGATAATACCTTCCCTGTGTGAAATAATTTATTTAATCTGGAACAAATAATTTACAAGTTAACTGTGCTATCCTTTTTCTATTCTTATGAAGAGATAGTAATGAGGCTTTGGAGGATTTTTCTCTGAAAAATGTGTTTGTTTTGCTGAATGTCTAATCATACAGATAGCAAATACATGAATTCCAGATCCAATTTTTTTTACAACAAATTAAATGTGAATAGGTGAAGACAGGAAATAACTTATATTGTTGGTCATCTTTCTGAAGCTAGTTGAGTATTTCTTGTGTTATCTGGACAGTAAAAGGATTTTTTTTTTAAACCCTTGAATAAAAAAAGAGCTGACTGTAGGTGTGGTGGTCAGTGATGACCCTGACTGTGGTGACAGAGTAGTTTTAAGACCTGACAAAAGTGAAGAAGGGAAATAGTAGAATAAAGACATTAGATTTTACGAGAGTAGACTTTGTATTCTTCGGGAAATGTGTATGTGGAACCTTAGCGGAGAATGCCCTGAAGGCATAGGAAGCCAGGAGAGATGCTTACTTTGAAGGATAACCTTCAAACACCTCAGCATGCAAGAGAATGAGCAGGTATAATAGGAGGTGGACTTGGCTTAATGGGAAACTTCTGAGCTCAAAACCAAAAAGGAAGTGTACAGAAAGTAGAAGGAGGGATGAACTGCCCAGGAGGGGTGTAGAAATATCACCTGGATTAATATCTTGGTGTGAAATTAGGAAAGCCAGGGCACAACTGGATTTGCAGCTGGTGAGGGGTTTGTATAGAGCCAGCTGCTTCTCTGGGACATGCAATGAGAGGCAACAAGCAATGCTTGCAGGACATAAAGCAACAATTCTTCACATTGGGGATGGTTGAACACTGGAAAAGGTTGTCCAGAGAGACTGGGAGATCTAAATCCTCGGAAGTTTTCCAAAACTCAGCTGGCTAAAGCCCTGAGCAACCTGGTTGCACCTGCAGTTTAGCTGTTTTAAGCAGCAGATCAGACTACGTGACTTCAGAGATTCTTTCTAGTTGAGTTATTCTGTGATCTGTTTTGTCATACATCATGGGGGATTCCTAATTTGGTATGTCTCCTACTTGGAAGAAAAAAACCCAGCTAATGGTCATTTTTCACACGGATTTAGCTGCTTAGACAGATTTATATTCTTTATTCCCAAACATGGAAAAAAATATTTAATGGCAAGTAATCCTTCCTTCTGTGTCTGAATTGACTTTGGAAAAACTGCAATAAAATACTTCAGAGAGTAAAAATTATATAATAACCAATTCAGGAATTTTCACTCAGAGTTGCTACAGTACTTGAGAAAAATTGGGTTAATTAGAAATCTGCTGCAAGAAGCAGCTGTCACATAGGAAGGCCTTTGAATTTTCCAGTGACCGTTGTCTTTTGGTTTTAATGTGGTAATCTTTTGAAAGTACCACTTTATGCATGCATAGTATAATTTATTTCATAAGTCCAATAGTAATGGCTAGCAAGGAAGTAAATTCAGCATCTTGGTGCTTCCAGGTTTGACTGTGTATTGCAAAGCTTACGCTAGGGGCAGACAGGACTGAACTAAACCAAGATTTACCACAGCTGGTGTGAAGACTTCGGAAACATCAGTAGATTTTGGATCTGACCACAGGCTTCTGTTACTGCAACTTGACAAAACTCAGTGTGCTTTGTTTCCAAACGTTACCTTGGGGAAGGGCTCCCTCTTGTGTTATTCACTAGGTTTGCACAATAGCGTTGCGCTGCTCTGTAAAAACATATTCCATGTAGTGGCAATACCCTTTTGAAGTTATGAAATACCTGTGCAAGTTTTACGAGCTGATAGTGCTATCACAAGCACTCAAGTTCAGAAAATGTTCATATCTCCATAACATTCTGTCTAGCATAGCCTTCGTATGTGGCTTGCTTACTGCTTTGCAAATGTTATCCGATGGCAAAATTTGTATTGCTTTAAAACACTTTGGTTTTGCTACATTTATCAATTACAGATGTAGTTTGAGGTACCTGAATGTAACATTAAGGGGCTTTATACTGTAGACTGTTCCGTTACTTGTGGCAGATAGAAAAATAGAAAATATATGCCTCTAATTTTTGAAACTAGGCAGAAAGCCCATACCTGGATCCAGTATAAACACTCTTGCCTAAAGCATGTTGCACTAAACCCAGAAATACTTCTGACAGCTGGGTGTTCACTTGTGCTGTTGTTGGACACAACCGCCAGGTGGGGGTAAAACGTAATGAAACTGAAAAGACAAAAAATTTGTTCAGGGTCTAATCTGTTTGCCAAAGACTGAGAGGTTTTTAATTTTTATGTTTTATTAACTTGTTTTATGGGGGATATTCTTAGGTCACTACAAATGCAAAAAAAATTAAAATGTTCTGATAGACTGCTTAGAGTTTTTATATATGTTGATATCTACAAGTCTCTCTAATGCAGTTTTGTGATGCAGTCAATGTAGTAGGAAATAATTATTTTTCCGAGTCTATTTTAATTTGATTTCTGAACTATCAAATTAGGGTAAGAAATATGGTAGGGGAAGAAGAGGGCCCTGTATGTTCCTTACTTTGAGGAAAGTGTATATGTACGTCAGCAGCAGTCCAGCGCTGCCCTTACCTCTCATAACTTTACAGGCATGTTGTAGCTCTGCAGTTCAATATTCTGTAAATGTGCTTCCTAGCAGCTGCTAATGTGTGCGTTTTTGGATTTTAACTTCTTAAAAATCACCCCAGATGTGCACCACTCTCCCCTCCCTTAAAACGCTCTGTAGATACTATGCAGCTCCTAAGCACTGTTTTATATTGTAGGTATAGATGTAATAGAGCTGCTGAAATGAGGGCAACCAGGTATTGAGCTTTACATCAGATAACTGAATGCACTATCTGTCTTCAGTGAGAAAAAAACACTGAAATAAGACCCCCACCCCGATGTAGTAGTATTTCTACTCTAACATTGGTGTCTTCATTTTCTGAAAAAAAAAAGAGGAAAAAAGTACACAGACTGCTTGAGTTAATGTACCTCTGGTAAGGGCTGTTAATGACATTCTTGCTGATGTTGCTATGTGTGAATGTTCCTTGAATGGTAACAGGAGCTTCCTGGCTAAGCAAATTCAAAAGGAAAAATCCCCTTCTTTGTTAACTGGATTTTAGCCACCTTTAGGCAGTCTGTTTTCTTTAGCAATTGAGTATTATATTTCACGCATCTTTTGGAATTTTTTTGTTTTGTTTTCTGTAGCTTATTTGGCTAAGTTTGGTTCTTGGTGTCCTGATGCTATCAATTGCTGAAGAAGTAGATTTCTTGGCCCCGGCCTCCCTCTTCCCACCCTGTTTTTATTTCTCTTTGAAATTTAGGTTCATTTAAAGAAAAAGTATATATGGTGAAAGCATTTTTTAAGGGGGTGTACGTGAAGATAACTGCTAGTTATTTTACATTTGGAACTAAATACAGGAATTTCTCTCAATAATGAATTCCCCAGACATGCAGTAAATGTCTCTTTCCTTCCCTATTCTTTCCAAAATGGAAATTTCAAAGAAGAAAACGAACAAGCCTGTACATGAGAAGAAAGAAATAAACAAAGTTGTTAGTTCAAATCTTCTTATTGTGGGGGATGTAATTTTTTGGATTTCAGGTGATATAATATAGTCCTGCAGAATTGTGGAAACGTGTGTGTTGGGGAAGGTGGGGGACTAAGCCTGTTTTTCTCAACTACAAAATAAAAGCTGTTTTTTCAGGATGCAGAACATGCGACACTAGTTAAACCTGTTAGCTACACTAATACTAAACTGCGGGTAAGCTTCTGCTTTTATAAAGGAGAAACACTGCATCCTGCACAGCTTCTGATAGGATGATGGTGGGTTCATTTTTATGCACCAGAAACTGTCTGTTCAGAAAGCGTTCGGCTTAGAAAATCTTAATAGAGCAGATACCCTTAATGCAGACCAGTTATCACTTCAGGTTGTTTTCTCAACCTTTTCCCTTCCTGCAGATGTCACATGTGTCTTACAGATGTCCTAGTTTTAGTCAGTTGTTGATTTTTCACCTAGATCACAGAATGGTCGAGGTTGGAAGGGACCTCTGGAAATCGTCTAGTCTGACGCCCCTGCTCAAAGCAGGGTCAGTTCGAGGAGGCTGCTCAAGGCAGTGCCCAGTCGCGTTTTGAATATGTTGAAGGATGAAGACTACAAAGCCTCTCTGGACAGCCTGTTGCAGTGTTTGACTGCACTCACAAGGGGGGAAGGTTTTTTTTCTTACGTTTAAGTTGATTTTCTTTGTTTTCAGTTTGTGCTTGTTGCCTCTTCTCTGTTCACTGGATACTACTGTGAAGAGCCTGACTTTGTTTCCGTTTCCCCCTCCCTCATCAGATATTGACAAAGTCCTCTCTTCTCAAGGCCAAACAATTCCAGCTTTCATAGCCTCTGCTTGTGTGACAGATGCTCCAGTCCGTTAATCATCTTTGTGGTCCTTTGCTGGACTCGCGCCAGTATGGGCATGTCCATCTTGTATGGAGGAGCCCACAACTGGATGCAGTGCTGCAGATGTGTGCCACCGGTGCTGAGCAGAGAGGAAGGATCACCTCGCTTGACCTGCTCGCAACACTTCTCCTAATGCAGCCCAGGATGCTGTTGGCCTTCTTTGTTGCAGGGGCACATTGCTGGCTTGTGTTCAGCTTGGTGTCTGGTAGAACCTCTGAGGCCTTTTCTGTAAAGCTGCTTTTGGGACGATTGGTCCCCAGTGTCCGCTCTGCCCATTTGTCCGGCCTGTTGAGGTGCGTCTGAATGACAGGCTGCTGGTCCTCCCCATTTTGTATCATAGGCAAGCTTGCTAAGGATGTACTCTCTCCCATCGTCCAGGTCACTAATGAAGATGTAAAACCCAATATCGACCCCCTGGGGTACTCTCCTGGTGACTGGCTTCCAGCCTGGCTTTGTACTGCTGGTCACAACCCTCTGAGCCTGGAAGCTCAGCTGATTTTCAGTCTACCTCAGAGTCCGCTTACCTAGCCCATACTTCATTAATTTATCTGAGGAGGTTATGGGAGATGATGCTGAAAGCCTTACTAAAGTTGAAATAAACAACACCCACTCCTCTCCTCTTGCCCACTGATCCTGTCATTTCATCGTGGAAGGCTGCTGTTGCTGTTACCATGATATCTTCTTTTAATTTGGAGGTGATGATGGTATTTGTGTATTGCTGGTGTGAAAATCCATGATTTGTTGAAGTTTGTCATGAGGAAAAAAATATGGGAGGAAGTGAGTACACAGAACTGAATTTTGTGAGATTCACTGATGGTAATAAAATACTTTGTCCTGAAAATTTTTTAAACAGTTACCTAAAGAGCCTTGAGTGGGATATTGTAGAAGTAGTCCACCTGAGTTTGGAGTCTGTCTTCCAAGATTTCAGGCAGTTGCTGCTGTTTAAGTTGGTATCCAATTTTTATTTGAATTTTATTTTTATTTTATGCAGAGAAATGAGTATTTTTTCAGCAATGACCTGTAATTAACTATGTATCCGTAAAAACTTGGCTTCTGTTAGCACTTGTATATATGCTACATTCTTATATGTAAGGGAGGAAAGTGTGATGTCTATAACTTTTAAAGCTGAAAAACTTATAATGTAAACTTTTTCTTGTTGCAGGTTTATGGAATCTTGCTTCTCTTTTTTCAAATTTATGTTTGTTTGTGTTGATGCCCTTTGCCTTTTTCTTCCTGGAATCGGAAGGATTTGCTGGCTTAAAAAAGGTAGGAAAATGCTGTTAAATACAGAGTAATTACAGTATGTATTCCATTTTCAGCCCTCGTTTCTGATGAAACTGAAATTACAAATTTGAGAGCATTTGGTGCTGGGATGTGTATTCTTACGTGAATGTTTATGTACAGACGTGCGCTCTTGCACAAGCAGGTGAAGTGAGTACATGGTGTGTGGCGGTGAGTAAGCTTAAGGGAAAAAAAAAAGTTCTTGAAAAGCCATGTATGCTGAGATCAAGAAAATCACTTAACTTGTCATTTTTTTATAACGAAATGTTTTAATAGAGATTTTATTTTTTGGAAAATGATTTTGTTGGGATGTTAAAAGAAAAGAAGGTTTAATAAATACACTAGAAATAAAGTAACAAGGAAAAGTACAGGCTTCTTACTAACGGGAAGGGTGATTAAATAACAGATGACCCAGAGAAAACAAGCTCGATTTGTTAATTTTAAAGATTACAAGCATCCAAAAAAAGGTTCAAGTGTGGTAGGTATTAATAATAATAATATGTTAAGAAAACTGCCTTAAATGGGTAGAGAATAACTAAAAATGTTCAACTTTGTTGAATATATTCAAGTTGAGGGGGGTGAATATTTCAGCGAAGCATAGAATTTGGCAAAGCAATTTCTGAACGATAAGATGATAACAATTATATTAATATGTGAACTAAAGAAATAAAATGAAAAAATTACTATAATGGGAGGCACAGCAAAAGAAATTTCAAATCGTAAATATCAAATAAATTAAACTGGAATGAGTGTCTGGGGACCAATTGTAGCACGTTTTCATTCATCTTTATCATCCAAATGATTACACTTTTGTTTTTAATGATACTACACTTGAGGGAATTCTGCGCCCTTTGGATGACAGTTATTAGAAAGCAAAGGATCTTGAAAAGTGGTCTGAAATCAGGAAAATGAAATGCATTAAAGAGGGATGCAAAAGACTGAGTCATTGGTGGATCGCATGTAACGTAAATCAACAAAGGGGATGATTGTGGTGGGAAGGACAACATAATTCCTGGTTGCATTGACAGGAATGTGGCGTGGAGGCAATGAGGTTGCCATTTTTGTTTTTGGTGGAATTGGGGAAAACTCAACTGAAGTACTGCATCCAATTTGGGATTTTAGGGTTCATGTAAACACTTAAGAGAGAAAACAGAGGACAGCAAAGAAAGTAAGATACTTAGAAGGTAGAGCATGAAGGAAAACTGTAGTTCAGGGAGAATAATGTGAAGAAACAGAGATTTTATTCTATAGCTGAAGCTACCGGGAGATTACATAGACTGAGCATTATATCTGTGTCAGAAAGGACCTGCGGGACCTAACCAACATGGTGTGTAAATGCTTGTTTGGTGTAGCCTGTTGTGAGGTCGTTGATGCTACTGCAGTCTTCCTTTGTATTGATCGAACTGTAGATGTATCCAAGTTACTTCAGTTACAAGTTTGGATGACCAAGGTAATGAGTTCAACTTCAAAGGAGTTTGGTGATGGGCTAAGTATTGTCCATACTACTGTGTGTAACTCTAATTATCCAACTTGGCTGGAAAACACTTCCCTCTTCTTCCTCCACTTCAGGTATCTATAGGGCTAAGAAAACTTTTAGCAACTCGCTTTGTCCTTTCGGTTTTCAGGTGGAGGCCACTCCATTTTCCTTTTGACTCTAAGTATCTAGCTACAGCTAATGTGTATGTTTTCTTCTAAAAAAGAAATGTTACCTGATTTTAGTAGGGTTTGTGTCTCCTACAGTCCAAGCAAAACCAAGGATTCTCTCCATTAGCGTACCGTCTACGGTACTGCCGGTGTGGCCCCTTGACTTGTAGATTTCTGTTGGCTCCAACAGATGCATTATGTATCCCAGCTGCATTGAACTTGCACTTTACATAAAACTTTAATAGTTACAATGTAACTTTTAAACTTATGATACTGGCTATCAGTAAGTCCCATTCAAGATAAATAGAATCACCAGTGCATGTTGTTTACACTTGGAAGCATTTGTAACTCCAGATGAGTTAGAACCATCATCTCTCTGCAGATGTCAGGAAGATGATGATTGTTTGTGCTTTAGAGTAGTTTTGCTTCTTCATGGGGATAGATGAGATCAGATTTTAGTATCAAAACCCACCTATCGTGTGTGTGTGTGGGAACCCAATTTTTGAGATGTTTTGTTACTTTGACTTCCCCTGAATGTTTTGGTGCATCCCAGAAGCAAAGTATGATTCCTAGTGCAGGTACTTGAGGCCTTTGTCCAACATCTGTTCTACCTGGCTGCTCGATTTAAAAGTATCCAAAATAGACGCAGACATATACTGAATTGTTTTACCAGCTTTGAGTGAGCCCTAAAACCATTGGTGAAGATGTAGGAATCGTAGTCCATTTTTATATGAACATACCTTGTCTTTGGCTGCTTTTCTTTGAAAGTAAGTGGCAAATGTCAATTTTGGACTTAGTTGATAGTTAAAATTGAGTGTGCTGTTCTGTTCAAATTCCGATGCAGATAAATGATTCTGCTTGCAATAAGTTATATATATTTATATATATATAAGAATTACATCACACAACTGGGTGATTGGATTCTGGGAAATTTTATGCTTAATTGAACCCAGAATTACACATAAGCTTTTCAGTTCTAGAATCTGAAGGGTACTTCACGTCTTTTTTTACTTTCCTTAGATTTTGGCACGTTGCTTATCTCTTTCAAAGCAGATTTTGAGACCATGATCACCTTGTAGAATTCTGGTACTTTAACAAATTATTTTGGTTTTGATTATACTTGTGCAAGTTTTAAAAAAAAAAGTCACATTTTATCATTCATCACATCAGACTAATGGACCAGAGAGATAAAACATCATTCAAATGCTGTTACTGTTAACAGGCAAAATCAGATCTTAGTGATCTCAATTTAAAAGAACATTTCATACATTTGGCAAAACTTGCAGCATTTAAGAGAAGAGCGATCTACTGTAAATGTAAAGGCATTCAATAAGGAGGTTTGGCACAGGATATGTAATCTTTAATCTTTCAGCTGGGAGATGGATACAAGGAGTAGATATCCAGCTCAGCTCAAAACTTGGATAAAAAGACTGTTCCAGTGGAAGCTTTTATGCAGGTTGTCTTGAATTTATCATAGAATTATCTTCATTCTAATGAATAGATAGGTCACTTAAGATGTAGGTGTGTACAGTCAAGATACCTATTTGAAGGTGTTCATGTAAGAATTACTTGTTGGGTTTTAATAGAAGTTCTGCAATTAATGATTGAAAGACGTCCAGTTCTGAAATTGAATGGATTTTTTCATTTTTTAATGGATTTCTTTGTTCAGCTTAAGTTGCGAGAGTAATGTTAGTCATTATCGCATATGGGTGTAACCCCCAAAGTTTTTAGCCATCTGTTTGAGTGTTTGTTATAGATTATGCTATAAAAGTTAATTTTGTCTGTTCACTGTAATGTAAACTTTTTGCAAGCTATGATATTTCAGATAGCTCATAGGTTACTGTTATGAGCTTTGTATAGCTTTTCTTTCCATGTTCTTGTAAGGTAGTATTGCCTCCTTAACTGGTTAAGTTTCATGAATTAGAATGGGTTTGATTAACCATCTTCCAATTTACTATGGCTTTTTTGCTTGGTTGCTAGTATACTTTCTAAAGGGCACATGGCCCCTCTTATAGACTCTTTTCGATTCCCCAGGGCAACAGTTTAAAACAACCAAAGACTTGCATATTGTGGAGAGGAGAGAAATACGGAAATTAGGCACTCACCATGGACGGATGCAGTGTAGTACTGAAAATCAAACTGATTCTCTGCCTAGTTTTTAATTAAAACCACTATGTTAATTCAAAAAGGGCATTTTGGGCCTAAGGGGATTGACCATGCCCTTTTAAAGAGCTTAAGTGCTCTTCCTTGCTACAGTTTATTTCTATTTAATGGCAGTTGCAGACTTCTGTTATCAGGAAAATAATTATAAAAGCAATATTGGAGGTGTATAATTTATGTATGTATATATGTATATCTTTGTGTATATATGTGTACATGCCACGTGTGTATTTATGCGTACGCATGTATTTTCATGCACACGTGTGAATTAGGTTTTTCAAGGCTATTGAAGTAATTGGAGGTCATCGTGATATATTTCGCCTCAGCTGGTGCTATTAACTGAGCTATTGGAGTACCTGAAGTAACTTTCATCTCCTGCATTGGTATTAAAAACTTTTTCATATCTTTCTATATTCTTCTTGTCTTCCTTTGTAGAGCCTGTGCATAAAGTTATATTTCTTGTTTAGATACTCTTTCAGTTCTTTGTCACTGGCCTTCTCAAATTCTGTAGTACAGTTATGAAACAAAGGTGTCAACCATGCTTCTTAATGTCAGAATTAACCTCATTTTTTATCATTCTCTCCGAAAGAAGGAAATTGTGGTATTTGCAGTTGAGTATCTGTAGTTCACAGTGCTGATGTGTCCATGTGCGATAACAGACTGCACAGAAAATTAGATGTGTGCTGCTGTGTGGAGGAGGCAAGCGTTTTTGAGGAGATAATTGCTATACCTTTTCTTGACCTTTAAAATATGCTTTCTCTTGATGTAACTTCAACTGAAATTTGTATTTGTTTGAAGTTGACAAAGATAAAGATGTTTAGGAGTAATTTCCTTGTAAGAAAATACAAATAGTGCAATTTACCGCCGTGAGAAACTGGAATAACTAGGTATTGCATAATCACGAGTGTAGAGTTTTAAGAAGGCTTTATGAAGTATTTTACCTTAATACTGATCTTTGAACTTGAAGTCATGGCATAAAGTTTAACATGAGCGACAGCAACATCCTGACCAATTATCCAAATTATCCAGACATCCCAAAATGTTCAGAACACAACACACAGAGTCTGTGGATTAAGAGGTTAACTCCTGGAACATCAAAAGAAGTGCATGATAATAAAAACAAATAGTACAAAAATTTGAGGTAACTTCCTTGCTTAATTAATTAGGTAGACCAGGTGGAA